TAACTAATAATGTAAAAAAAAAAAAAAATAACAACTTTATTTAACAGTTAAACAGCCAGAGTTGGTGTTGAGTACTTCAAGCTCATTGCTTTTCCTCTAGCCAGTAGTTCAAAATTAGTACCAGCAACATATAGTCTTAATAGCTTTACAATAACAAAAAGACAGTGAGCAAGTTTAGTGAAAATGGGAACCAAACTAAAGACCCTCAAAGTACCATTATGTTCAGTATGTAGCTTTGCACTTAAAGAACATGACAATACCTAGATTACTTGGATAGTTAGAATAATCAAAAATAGTAATAACACGAAACACAAATTTCAATTAGTTGATTATTTTTGACAATCAATTAATCATGAATTTTTATCAATTGATTACTTTAAGAAACACTAATTAAAGTAATCACTACTCATAGGTAATCAATTATCTTGGGGTTGAAAGCCATATGCCATTTGTTCACTCAGCCCACAAAGTAATCCTTTTTTTTTTTTTTGTTAAGCAGTAACATCCTCTTCACAGCCACTAACACCCCAAAATTTAATGTTTACAGCAAATTTAAATAATCTGTTGGCCATTCCATCATTTATGTCATTGTTGTAAATCTAAAAGAGCAAAGATTTTAACACTGAAACTCAAGTTGCCCCACTTGTGACATTAATCCAGTTTGACTGAACTCCATTTATAATAACTCTTTGCTTTCTTCTTTCCATCCAGTTTTCTGTCCAGTTAGTCAACCTGTCCACCACATCTGCAGAGACAATTTTTTAAAAAAGCTTTTTATGTGGCATCCTGTCAAAATGATTTCTCTAAATAAAGTAGTATATCTGCTTTGAGTTCTCTAACTTTTCAAATTTCAAAGTAAATGTGTTGGCCACCGAAGACACTCAGTGAAGGGGAACCTGCAGGATGTTTAGGCTAGGCAGTAACTGCCACTCTAGATGCAATATTCAACTATGAGCTTTTTAACCACAACAACTTTAACATATGCTATTATAGCTGAAAGTACTGTGACTGCTAGCATCAGATCTTCATTAAAATTCAAAGAGATTCCGATTAATCATGACATTTCTTCAGGTACATGACTCATCTTGTGTGCTTTCATTTTCCAGAAGAAGTTATCCTAAGCATATAGCAAATGTAGTTCTCTGATATCTTGATGGTAACATGGAACACTCATAAATATTATTGCAGCTGTATAGACTTAAGTAAAAACTGAGAAGGTTAAAAGGCAACTTTGTAACTTGACTGAACTGTGCAAAGTAGGACAGGACATTTGGAACAATGTTACATGATCTTACATTGATAAACTGTGTGCCCTCATGAAAACAATTTGAAATCTTTGTAAAGCAAAGAGCTTACATGGAAAATACTAAATCATTGTATGACTTATTTGCATTTCTTATTTATTAATGTGTTGATGTTTTGTACTGTAAATAAACTTACAATATAGTTTTCATTGATCTTTGTTTGTGACTTCTGTATGTGAATCGATTGTGTATTTCCGTAATTATTTCTGTTAGTGCGTGTATAGTGAAATCATTTTGTTCATACAGTTTTAATAAGACTTCAGAATAACTGTTTAGAACTAATTGCTCAAATAACTAATGTTTTTACTCTGTAGACGATACCTGATGTGCCTCATCGAATTACATCTAAGAAGTCAGCTCACAATAAACAAAGAACAATATCTGAACTTCATAGTAAGTTATGATCCTTACTTTTACAAAAATTTGGTAATGACTGTTAGGCTAGTGTATTTCTCATTTTAATGTGCATATTCATGTTCAATACCAATTGTGTGGATTCTTTATTTGTATGAGGCTGGAAGTATTATAGATTGTGTTCTAAAATAGCATCTATAATGGCTTATAAGTACACTATAAGATTACTTACATTATTGTGTATGATGACATTGTATATACATTGGCATTAACTTAGTTTATGTAAATTTAATATGTAGTGATTGAATTTTTATTTAAACATGTTTAAGGTATGTTGAATAAGTCTTAATGTCTTAATTACATTAGTGTCTACAAATGTGTGTATGTGTGGGTCTATATATATAATTTTTTTCATCCTTATTTTAGTGGAGAGTATAAATTTTGAACCACCTCTGCTGACAGAATTGTCTATAGATCAGGTAAAAAAACTAATATTTTTATTTATGAATATACCTTTTCACATGCATGATATATTTGACTTTCTTCATAAGGTTTCTATAAACTTTGAAATTTGGACATGCATATTTCTTGAAACAATACGTTTTTATTAAAATATTTTTAATAGAGCTGGGCAGTTTAATTCTCGCTACAGGTAGGCAAAAGTTACAAGAGTTATATTCAAGATTTAATTAAACTACATTGTATCAATGTACATACTATCAATATATACGAATAAACTTGGCATCAAAATGTAGTTAATAAATCAAATTTCAACACACAAGTTTTAAGTTCCTAATTTTATAAGGAATATTTAACAAATCCTCAATCTTCCATGGTAACAGTAACTGCCATTTCCTCTCTAGGTATGCTCTCTTCTCCAATTTATTTACCACCCCTCCAAGAAGTATGAAATTTATTATTATATAAATATTACTCAATTACATAATTTTTAAAGCCTTCAACCTTATTTCTTTAGGGAGCCATAAATAGAAAGTATGACCTCTCTTGCCATGCCCACCTGTCACATCCCCCCTTTCACAAATTGCTAATAGTTCTCTCTGACATTTTAATCTATCAAACAATTTATTGTATTACATTGTTTTCTGTACAGAGAAATGTTTATTTTCTGGTCCAGTTTCAAATTTGTTTTCAAAAAGAATCATGCTGCTTTTCTTAGCTGAATTTTTAAAGGCATAGTTAGAAAGCCAGGAAAATTATGATAGGTATAGGACACTGTTTGCTTTTTGTGATATTATTGTGCATTCTTAATGTTCTTAAAACTGTTTAGTGCAGTAGTGCCATTAGTATAAAAGGTACACTCAAGTTTCATCAACAGTAAAAAAAAACAATAACAACAACTCAGATAAGTATTAGGTCGTCAAGAAATTAATGTTGCATTTTGAAACACTTTCATTAACCATCCCCCAAAATCCAAGGCAACACACTCATGAAATGGCCC